GGGCGCGGGCGCGCGGGACGAGGCGTGCGCGCCGGCGGTGGGCGCGCTGCGGCCGTGCGCCACGTACCCGCAGCAGAACCGCTCGCTGTCGTCTCAAAGTTACAGCCCGGCGCGCGCCGCCGCCCTGCGCACGGTCAACACAGTGGAGTCGCTGGCGCGCGCCGTACCCGGGGTCCCAGCCGGGGGTGCGGCCGAGCCCAAGTCGCAGACCTACCCCAACGGCTTCGGGGCCGCGCGCGAAGGCCTGGAGTTCGCCGACGCGGACGCGCCGGCCGCGCGCTCGAACGGTGAGTGCGGCCGCGCGGGCCCGGGGCCGACGCAGCGGCGCTGCCAGCGCGAGAACTGCGCCTTCTACGGGCGCGCCGAGACCGAGCACTACTGCTCCTACTGCTACCGCGAGGAGCTGCGGCGCAGGCGCGACGCGCGCGGGGCCCGGCCCTGAGCGCGCCGCGCAGGCGGCGGCGTCCCGGAGGATTTCTGTTCCATTCTGTCGGTGTCTTTTTTACACGCCCTGGTCAACCGAAAGGCCGGCGCCTCCTCTGTCAGTGCCGTGTACGTGTTTGGTCAAACGTTCCTAATGGTGCCTGAACCTACACTGACGCCACTCAGGTAGTAGACGGATAGGAAACAAGTCATACTGTTGGAAGTGGGTGTGCTAGCCTAGCCTCTGCCTCGTACCTGTGGAAACTCAATAGCCATTGCAAGAGTATTTTTGTTCCTCAATAAGAGAAATAAAGAAATTCGCAGCCCTTTGTTTTTAGAAGGGAGTGTTTTACATGCTTTTTTCCTCCCCCTTTTTTTCCTAATCTAGCGACTGACCTCTTCCAGGTAACGATCACTTCTGCGTGGTTGGTACCACCCAGGATGTAGCAGCGAACGTGCACCCGGGACTGGTGGAGGCCCCGCTGCGGGCACCCACCTGCTTCCCATCCCGGGTCCTTGAAGAGGGCAGGCACCTTGCCACCCTCTGGCGCTCTGGTGGTCACTGTGGCCCTTTAGAAATACACGTCTCCATTTCATAAGCGGAAACCTACTCCCACAGTCCCTGGCTCGAGCAACATTCACACTGCCATCCACGCCGCAGGTGTCCGTAGAGAGGGCATCGCACAACTACCTCGCAGGGCGCAGTGAGGTATAGCGATCGCTCCTGGTGCTGCTACCAGGCAGCTTAGGTGACAGGAGCTTTCCAAAGACACCTCGGGTCCAAAAAGCAAGGTTCTGCACTCACAATTTGGATTTGCCCGTGTGTGAAAAAGTAGGGCAGCCTGCTCATATTCTCCTTTGAAGACATTTCCACAGTGGACTGTCGCTGGAGGGCTCCTAAGAGGTGACTGTCAATCGGTGCCCCAGGAGAGAGGCGAGGAGTCGACCCTTTGTCACTGTGTGAGCCCCCACTAGGCTGCACTCCTTCAACGAGGAAGGGGCTGAGGGAAGCCAGGAAGGAAGCCCACCCCCCCACACACACTTGCATCTGTCTGGGTTCAGCCAGGTCAAGGGCCTCACTGGGATGGGGGCCCCTCCCCAGGGCAGGATGACACGTTCAGGGAGCTGTCTGATCCCTGAACGATCTCTTTTTTGGTGCCTCCTATATTTCTTGAGGAAAAAAAAAAAACAAAAACGTGTCCTTAGCTACCCTGTTCTGAGCAGCAACATGCAGCCTCTTCCTTCCGAGATTACCTCTGGAAAATACCATTCTTGGCCAAGGATACTGAGGAGCCAAACCTGCCTCACTACGGATAAGCTGAGTGAAATAGTCACTCGCAGGAGAATGCTTTAACCTTGCAAGAGCTTTAGAATAGCCTGGAATAATCCTAAGAAGGAAAGTAGACGTGCCCAGATTTGCAGTGAGTGTACCCTCAGAAAATGCAGGAGGTGGACAGACCATCTCGTCATTGGAGCCAGCTTCTCCTCCAGAAAGGATGCTTTACCCCCTTGCCTAAAGAGCCGCAAAAGCAAAAAAAAAAAAAAAAGAAAGAAAGAAAGAAAGAAATTTTAAAAAGGGAGAGGATTTTTTTTTTACTTGTTAAGAATTATAACAAAATAGAGTATCTCCTGTGAGTAATTCCTTTTTGTTTTTAATTATTCCACAGCACGTGGCATTTTTGGTAATTTATTCAGGTTTTTGCATAAATGGTTCCTTAAATCAAAATTATTTATTAAATAGAATATTCAAGAAGTTTTTTGAATGTTTTACTTTTCCTGCTGACCAGTATTTTCGATGTATAGTAATTACTAACATCCACGTCCCTAATGTTGCTGGGATTTCTTTTGTTACTCAGAAAAAAAGTGGTTTTTAACAAATCTCTCATCCAGGAGGGTCTGTGGCAGCTTTTTGGATTGATTCTTCATGTCATGCTAAGCAGCTGCTTTGTCATCCGAAGCTGTGGGGTCACAGAAGGTTTTGCTTCAGGTGTAGACATCAGCTACTCCTCACACTGCTGACTTTGAGAAGGCTGATGCCCAACCTTAAAAATACTCGTGTGCATTCAGAAACCAAGCCCACAAACACAAGTCAACCAGGCACAGAGTCATTTGGTGTTTGTTTCTATGTTCAAACAGCCAATCAGAAATTTCCAAAACTGCCTATGCAAACTTTTTCTCTTGCTCATGCTCTTTGCCAGGTTTAAAGAACAGAAAAGAATGGGCAAACTGAAAGTAAAAACGTCTCATAGTAATAGAAGAAAACCTTAACCTGGCAGAGTAATATATATGTATTATTAAAAAGTGGGGACCTGTGACCTGTTCTGTCCTTGCATTTCCAAGTTACCTCCATCCTACTGCCATTTGACCATAAGACGGACCTGAGTAAGAGCCTGAGACACAGCCACTGGCCACACCAGGGGCCCCAGCTGCTGGATTTGGTCATAGGACAGGCCTCTGCTGGGTGGCTGTCAGGGCTCCTGGCTGACACATAACCACCGAGTCTGTATCATTTAAGAATAGCCATTTCCTTTTGTCAGAGATCTGGATCCATCCTTCCTCTAGGTAGTTTTTTAAAATACAAAAGTGAGAGAGTCTGTGGTTATTTTAAATGCACTAGTCCTGTGTTCCAGAAGCATGCTCCATCCACGTTCAGAGCTCTGTAGACCTGGGCCCTGGTCAGACACCAAATTAGTTCATCAGACTGGGTAGAAAGTGTGTTGCTTACATGTGGACCAGGCGGTTCCCTCATATATTATGACGTGGGGGCCCTTTGTGGGACAGGAACGAAGAGGGAACAGGGTGAGTCCCATTGGGGCATAGTATGAGTGGCCTTCCCCATTTGATCTGGCCAAACTTTCCTTCCTGGGAAGGACAGATGTCCCTCAGTGATAGCAAGTTTCTAGAACGACCCCAGGTACTTCTAAACCCCTGTGGAGGTTATTTTGAAAGCCGACTTCACATTTCCTACACGTGGGTTACCTGGACAAATGATTTTTTTAAAAAATAATAATATATTGTTAAGAGAAGGTGTTTTTCAGTGTATTCTGTTTGTAGATTTTATGCTGTGTTACATTGAAATTTTGCAAGCCAAGTTTAAACTGTACTATAGAAATTATTTTTATATTATTTTCAGGATATGCCACAGAGCAATATTTTGCACCCTTTATTGTCACAGGGTTGCCCCTTGGAAGTGTAACTTGAGGTGGGAAAGGGCTCCACAGTGGGCCTTGGGATTTAAATACTTTTTGCTGTTTGTTCAAATACCCTCAAAAGCAGGAATGTATAAATGTCTTTTTTTTAATTGAAAGGTCGACTTCTTTTTCTGTTCATGGATTTTGGTACTGCACCTTTTCTCTTAAACCAACACTTTATATTCACTAAGTTACTGTGGACTTTTTCTTACCTGTTCCCACCCAGTGAAGTTGGAATCGGTTACTCCGCGAATTGAATGTTTTTTTCCAAATAATTTATTCCAGTAGCTTACTGTCAAGAGTCAGGCGGCTTGAGATAAAAGGACTCCCTGTGCTGCCCAGGTGCACACCTCAGGGTGTGGAAATTCTCCTTTCAACGCCCACTGTGTCTCTGGAGAGGGGTCATGGGGACATAGACCCCCCCACACCCTTCGTGTCCACAAGCCTATTTTGCAAATTACTCTACTTTGCAAAAATAAACTTAACCTAGCAAAATATATTTCACATTAGTTAAGAAAAAAAGGGCTGTACCTATCAGTGGTGAGAAATGTGTGCAAGAAAAAGAAAAAAAAAAAAAGACTTTGCCAAACCGGTGTGTGGAGTCCCATTCTCTGTGAGTCTTTTGTTTACTGGGTGATCTGGATAAAAGCTGAAGGCATCTACTGCATGTTTGGGGTTTCTTTCTTTATACCATGATTATTCTTTTCCTTTCTTGGTGTGGACTTTGCAAATTAAGTTCCTCCAGTATTCTTTTTCTTTCTCTTTTCTTCCAATGCTTCTAAGAAAAGAGAAGAAAATTTGTCTCCATAGCTAAGTGAGCCCTGCCTTCTCAGACAGACCTCTCTGGCTCTGGCCTCTGCCCCCTCAGGCTGCTCTGGATGAGAGTCTAGAGCTGCTGTCACCTGCGGACAAATACACTGAATGAAGGCCCAGAGATGACTGGCACACCAGGTGCCAAGGAACAGGCAGCCCCTTCCAAAAAGCCTTAAAGTGGTAGCTGTCTGGAGACCTCCAGGCAACACCTTCCTGTTACTCCTGACTCTCACCTGCTTTCTACGCCAACTGGCCCATTTTAGTGTGGCTGTCCAGGGCAGTGACCAGGCACTCAGCCTGGTTCTTGTTTAATTCAGTCCATCCTATTGCCTGTGTCCGCTGTGCCCTGGTGGGGCTCTTGGTCCAGAGCGCATTTCTGCCAGTGCTGCCTCGCTGGTATGGGGAAGGGTCTGGAGTAGTTCATCCCATAGTATCCAGCAGTGAGAAAGCCCGGCACACACGAAGGCGAGTGCCCACACTCAGCCCGGGAGACCTCACCGTGCTTCCAGGGCCAGCTGTCTTGCAAGTCTTTCACGGCAGCTCTGGGGCAAAAAGCAGAAGGTCTGTTAGCAGTTACACAGGCGGCTTCTTCCTGTGCCACCCCCAGCAGAGAACAGCAAGGGCGATGCCTTGCAGGGACCCCTCAGGAGCAGCAGGTGTGTGCATTCTGTGCTGTATGAAGAACTGCTCTCCACAGGGCTGAGCTGAAGACGCGCTGGGACAGGAGCAGCACAGAAACCGTGACTCCAAACCGTGCTAGGAAGCTCACTGTTCTACTTATTTTGCCAAATAATTTGTTGAAATTTATGTTTTCACTATCTTAGTCTCAAAAAAGGGAGCCCCAGCAATCCTAATTATGTATATACAAAGTGATACACATTACTTATGTCGTTTTATTCCTCCCAGAGAGCGTCTCAAGGGTACAAATACACATTATGTAAAATGCGTTAGTTTAATGTAAGGTGAGGAGTAACAGTTGGTTTTAAGGGTAAATATAGGCTGAATTTACTCAAGA